GAGTGACCTCTTCTGTGTGCAGCCAGAACCAGCAAGTGCCTGGTGGTTGGCTGTGGAGAACCGGGGAGAGCATGCCATGGGCACCCGGAACTCCTAATTCCCTAGCAGAGAGCGCCACGCACAGCACACCGGCCAGGAGACTCCAAGCAGGGGCCTGCTCCTCCGTGACCTCGCCTCCTGAGTTCCTCTAGGTGTGGCTTTTCAACTCAAAGCTTCTTCATTTCTTCATTCACAATTACTCCAAAGAAAACGAAATATTTAGGTATAAACTTAATAAAATACATATGGGATATGTATGCTGAAAATTACAAAACGCTGATGACAGAAATCAAAGACAAATAAATAGATATCAATTCTTCCCAAATCGACCTGAAAGTTTAATGCAAGTCTTCTCAAAATCAAGATGTCTATGTGGACACAGACGAGATTATTCTAAAATCTATATGGAAAGACACAGGCCCTAGACAGCCAAAACAATCTTGAAAAAAGAAGAAAGTGGAGGAGCCACTCTACTCTGTACTGAGCCTGCTTATAGTGTCAGTTACCAAGATATGTGGTGTTGTTAGGGGACAGACACATAAATCAATGAAACAGAATAGGAAACCCAGAAACAGACCCACAAACGTGTGCCCAACAGAATTTTGACAAAAATGGCAAAACCAATTCAATGGATGAAGGATCGTCCTCTCCAGCAAATGGCGCCGGAGGCATTGAGCATCTGTAGGCAAAGAAACACTTAAATCTTAACCTAAACCTCACACCTCATGGAAAAATTGACTCAAAGTGAATCATGGATGTAAATATAAGACATAAAACTTGGGATTTGAGGCTAAGCAAATAGTTCTTAGACTTGACACCAAAAGCATGATCCAAAAAAGGGAAAAAAGTCATAACTTTTGCCTGAAAAAGACTCTGTGATAAAAATGAGAAGACAAATTACAGTTTGGGAGTAAATATTTGTAAACTACAAATCTGATAAAGTGTTAGTATTTCAAATACATAAAGAACTCTCAAATTTCTACAGGAAAAAATTAAACAAGCCAATTAGAAAACGAGCGAAAGGTATGAACAGACATTTCACCCACCGGGACACACAGATGGCAAAGACGCGGGCCGGCATAGGCTGAGCGTGACAGTGCACGGGGGAGCACGGGCTCCCGGGCGCTCTGAGGTGGACTTCGTTACGACGGCATCTCTCTGTTGATACTCCCTGTTTCTCCTAGAAGATGCATGCTGTAAACTAGGAGTCAAGACTAGCCACCCAGGTAGATCCCTAATCCTATTTTAGGCCTCTGACCCATTTCTTGGGCCATGATTAGTTTCTGCTTAAAACTCTTTGACTGCGTCCGCCACAAGTGCCCCCTCCATTCGAAACTGCCTCCTCTAACGTCTTCTAGCTTATGTCTAAATGGATTTGTCACATGTATTTGGGGAGCTTTACCCGAGCATTTACCCAAGGAAATGCTTCTCTCCCTACTGTCCTAACCAAGCCCTCTTCACAGCTGTGTTTTTTCCTCCAAGTAATCCAACATCAGAAACACTCTCTCCGTAAAAGTGGACCCTCTTGCTTTCTTAGAGTTGGAAGCTTGTGTGGAGATGCATTTTGCTTGTTGGGACCCTTCTCTCATGTCCAAGCCACATGTCAGTCAGAGGCTTGCTGGTGGGGGGTAAGCCCAGACCCTTACCATGGATATCTGTATCTGGGGGCAAGCAAGAGAGGAGGAGGAGCCCCACTGTCCCATCTGTGCCTTCTCAGTTCCGTACCTGGGTCCCCCCAAATTACCTGCAGACTCAGCATTGCCCCAGCTCCAGAACCGGTTGTGCCCCAGACAGGGAGCAAACCAACACCCTGAGAAGTCCCAGCCGGACTGTCACCTCTCAGAGCTGCTCGCTCAGCCAAGCCAACTGGGCACTGTCGGTTCCCCAGGGCCTCACCTCCTGCATGCCCAGTGACCCCGAGTCTCTGCCCCAGTGTTCTTAGGCCCCCCTCCTTGGGTGGCACATGCCTGCAGGATCTGCCTTGTTTCTATTTTTGTTCTTGCAAAGCTCCCTACTCCTGCCCAAAAAAGGACATCAAACCTGAGCTGGAATATATCTCACTCAAGACTTTTTCCAAGGAGCTAGAGCCTTTCCTGGAGATCCAGCACTCTGTCTTGAGGGATCTGGAGCGTTCAATGATATGAACTGATACTCAAGGACAGAAGCTTTTCTATTTCTCACCCTCATGTTGTAGGAACCAAATTAACCACCAGAACATCTTGTGGCAGTTCTTCAATCCACCAACAGATGGCGCTAGAGGCCACTGGCACAGCTTCACCAAGGATGACTTCAAGGACTTCCAAGAATTCCTCTCTAACCAGATGACTTTCAGCTGCTGGGTCCCTCCTGGCTGATTCGAATATCCTGATCCTGGCCAATGCAAGTATTAGGCCTAGATCCATTCTATCCTGGCAGCCTTTCCTCTCCAGGCTGCGTCCTACAGCCTGGTCCCCTCCCCAGCCCCAGCCCGCTCATCAGCCTGAGCTAGTGAGTAGGGATCACCTTGCCTGCCTTGGGGCCAGCCAGACCTGGAATCAGACGTTCAGGGGCTCAAAGTGCAACCAGGGGTCTGGAGCCCAGTGGGCAGCTCAGACTGGAGTAGATCTAGGCCATGAAGACCCGTGCCCCAGGGAGAGGATAGAGCCAGGCAGGAACGCGGAGGACACAACTCGTTCCAGCCCAAGCCTCCAGAAGTATTGAGAAGCAGCACCCACACCACTCTTCTGGATTTCTTACTCCCTGGGAGAGACCCAGTGCTCCCCAAGGCCCCCTACTGAACGTGTTCGGCCAGCTTGGAACTTGGTGTAGTGACAGTAGTCAATGCTGCCTCTTGGTGCCCGTGAACAAGGGAAGCAGCCCTTCAAAGGACTAACTGTGATCAGTGCCCAGAAAGGACTGCAGAAAGCCATGAGGATGAGAAGCAAGGAGACAGAGGTGGAGGGGCCAAGAGAGATGGACAGGCGGAGGGGCTGCGGGAGAGACCTGTGGTTTGGCCCTGGCCTAGCAGCCCGTGAAAGGCCTCAAAATGGGTCTTAAACATTGTCTCTCAGTCAAATTATCTATACAACCACAGGGCTGTGTTGACAGAAATGTTTCTCCTACGTGTTTGTAGATATGTTTTATTCCTACTAAATCACGCAAATTAAATTTTTGACCCAATAATCATTTTCATAACCCAATTAATTACACTTTATGGTCATTTGTGGATCAAAAAGTTGATTTGTGAACTTTACAAGTTTAAAATATATCACCATTTTTGTAACCCTAGTTTGACATCTCTTTTTTCAAGATGCTGAGTGCTTCGAAAAATGAAAGTGACTGAGGCACCTCTGGACCTCAGAGAGACCCTGGAAGCCAGAGAAGAATGAAGCAGATCCTTCTGATTCCAACCCACAGAAAGGCAATAACATTCTGCTTTAACTTTTTCTTTGCTTAATTCTTTTTTCCCTTGTGAATGGGAGACCCAGTTCATTCCACGGAAGGCTCCCACGCTATTTAATGCTCAGCTTATTGACTTCCTAGGCCTTTTCCTCTATGTTCTCTAGAGCAGCCCCTTGGAACACAAACATTTCATCAACTCTGGGAAATGTCTGTGGGAAGACAGGCGAGAGGAGGGTCGAGCTGGTGAGGTTTGGGGTCTTCCTGTGTTGTCTTCACATGGACATTCCTGAGTTTGGTCCTTGTGTGCAGGCTTAAGAATTGAAGAAGTGAATTCACGTAGAGTCAAACACACATGTCTATTAGTCAGCGTATTCTAGAGAAACAGAAGGAACAGGAAGTATCTGTATATGAAGAGATTTATTATAAGAAATTGACTCATACAACTCTGGAGGCTGAGGAATACCACCTCTGCTGTCTGCAAGCCGGAGACCCAAGAAAGCCAACGGCGTCATTCAGTCCAAGTCTGAAGGTCTAAGAACCAGGAGTGCCGGGGGCAGGAAAAGATCCCTGTCCCGGCTGAAACAATCAGGCAGGAAGAGGTGAGTTCCTCCTTCCTCACCAGTCACTGTCGCTTGTGTTCTTTTCAGGCCCTCCACGGATTGGATGATGCCCACCTACACTGGGGAGGGCTATCTGCTTACTGAGTCCACTCATTCAAATGCGAATCCCATCTGCACACACCCTCACAGGCACACGCAGAAATAGCCTGTAATCTGGGCACCCCATGGCCGGTCAATTGACACACAAAATTAGCCATCACAACACGTACTCAAACCTAAAGCCAAATGCGTATTCCCAAATTACTGTTGCTCTTCCATTGTCCCCCTGTTGGATCTTCCAACCTATTAGCACAGCCAGGAGCTGGCAGAAACTACCTTTAGTTCAAGAAGTGTTTTCTGAAAAGGAAGATGCGCTGGGGAAGTGAGGCAGAAGGGAGAGAGAGTGGTGGGCGGAGCAGACTCAGGAAACTGTCGCTGGCTGTTGAGTTTCTCAATTCGGGTTACCATGGCCACCAAGTGCCTAGCAAACCTCTCATTCTGTATTCTGGGTCTGAAGCCTGGGCTTCTCCCTTGTGCTGGCCATTGACTACTCTTTGAAGAAATCTGGGTTCAGATCTAGACACTGTCACTTACAGTGTATTCCTGGTTAGTTCATTTCCTCTCTGATCCGTTTGCGAGGCCGTTGGGAGGAGGAGAGATTAATATACATAAGCTCTTTGCTATGTGAAAAGAGACCTATAAACAATAACCAAAAAAAAAAAAAGAAAATCAAGAAAACTTCCAGAGATATATAATTTTATATTTTGGTTTTTGTTGTTTAAATTCTTTTACTGAGGTATAACATACAAGCAGAAAATTATACAGAATATAAACACACAGCTCAGTGAAATTTTAGGAAGTGAATATGTTTGCATAGCCACCACCCAGATCAGACATTCATGCCCTTCTGTAGGCCCCTTCCACATCATATCAGGATGGGTCTATGTGACCCACAGATATGGCAGAAGCAGTGGCATACGACTTCCAAGGGTAGGTCACAAAAGATATTGTGCCTTGCTCTCTCTTGGATCACTCATTCTGGGAGAAGCTAGTTGCCATGTCATGAAGACACTCAAGTAGCTATTGAGCAAGGAGCTGAGGCCTTCTGCCAACAGCTGTGTGAGTGCGCCATCTTGGAAATAGATCCTCCAGCCCCAGTCTAGCCTTCGGATGACTGCAGCCCTGGCCAACATCATGACTGCACCTTCATGAAGGAGACACCCTGAGCCACAACCACCCAGATAAGCCAAGCTCAGACTCATGACTCTCACGAAGTGTGAGATACTAAATGTTCATTGTTTTCAGCCGCTAAATCTTGGGGGAATTTGTTACACAATGATAGATCTCTAATGTGGTTGTACTGCACTTGCCTAGGGCCAGTCTCTGCAGCCAGTTCAATCTTTCTTCACACAATCACTCAGTCACTCGTTCAGCAACCATTGGTTACACAGTGCAGTTGGGCACTGGGTCGTCCCTTGATGAATAAAATAGACCCAAAACGCCACTATGATGTCAGCTATATCCTGGAGGGGGAGATGTATAGAAACCACCAAAAGAAAACATAGTAACAGTGTTTGAAGAAATATGGAGAAAATAAACAGGGATCAGTGAGCAGGACAGGTAGTGTGACCCCTAGGAAGGGTGATCAGGGAGCCTTTCTGAGGAAGTTACATCCAAGGTGAAACCAAGAGGACAAGAAGGGGCAGGCAGTGAGAAGAGCTGGGGGAGGGGTCCAGGGAGCAGCAAATGCTAAAGCCTGGGGAGGGTCGAGCACTTTGGCTGGAACATAGGACCACACTGGGGTGGAGGGAGCAAGAGGAAGCTACAGAACGAAGCAGTGGTCAGGTCTGCTCAGGCCATGCAGGCCAAGCAAGGAGAGTGGGTTTCATTTGAAGAGCGGGGAGCAAGGAGTGACATTAACGACTACTGACGTCGGTTAAAGCTGTCCCTTCCTGATGATTGGAGAAGAGAAAGGAGAGGGCATGAGGGGCTTGGGAAGAAGAGGGATGTCACTGGAGTGTTGAGAGGAGAGAGGTCCTTGGTAACTTCGGGGGAAAAGGAGGAGGAGGCAGATTGGAGAGTTAGAGTCAGGATAGATGGGGAGTGATGGAGAGAATCTGGATCACAGCATTTGCGCTACAACTGTGCTAGGAATATCATTGCCTTTGATCATGATAAGATAGTGTGAGAGAGGCACAAATCTGGGAGACAGTGTTTAGGGGGAAATTGATAGACCTGGTTTGTGTATGACAAGGTTGAGAAAATGGCATCATTGGGAGAGACGCTAAATGGGTCCTGCACCTTGACCCATCACCCTACCATTTCCAGGGTAAACTGACCCTAAACCCATCAGGTCATGAGAACAAGGCATTCTAAGTTGGGTCAGATCTGCCTCCCCACCTCCTGGGAAGGATCGTCCCCCACTCTCCACCTTGAAGAGGCCCCTGGTCATCACTGTGAACCCAAAAGAGACACGAACTGCCAGCACCTTTGGGGAGACTGCCCTCTTGTTATATGACCACCCTCTCTGCCATTGGATAGAGAGGAGGGATCAGTCTCAGCCTCACATGCTCCCCAACTTCCCATCAGCATCTTCACCCTCTGAACCCTTTCTCAATATTCTGTCCTGAATCTCACAGTGGAGTGGACTTTCAAAGAAGAGTAAAAAGTGAAGTACTGGAGGGTTGATAACGGCTGCTCCACCATATGTTGGGGAACAAGGAAGCACACAAGGAAGGAAGCCGCAGCCTGAGGGGTTTGTGCCCTGGTTAGGAACCCAGAACCAAGCGAGGACCTCTGAAAGTGTTTGAGGTCACAGTGCCAACTTGTGTGACCAGAGGAAAAGCTGGGGTCCCACGGGGGCAGAGCTCTCCATGGGTGCCTGGAGCTGCAGGTTGAGGGGGTCAAAGTACCTCTTTGGTCACCACCAAGGCCAGAGAGGAGGGAGGGGTCTGGCCTCCGCTCCCAGGATTGTACATCCTGACCACAAGGAAGTGACGTATCACAGAGGCGAGGACACCTGCTGAGGAGGAAATGTGCCCGCTTGGCTCCGCTGGGTGGGAGCGTGTGTGAAACAGTGAGAGAGGAGGAGCAGCGCAGAACTGCTGTGCAGAGGAGCAGCGGCTGCAACCGAGTCCAGGACCTGGCCCTGGCCCTGTCCAGTCACCGGGACTGGGAGAAGCCAGGGGCACCGGGTCTGGGGGCTCTGCACAGCCCATGCAGATTCTCTCCCTGAGCTTCCTGCACCCTGACCGGCTCCAACATCAGACCTGACTCAGGGCCGGACAAGGAAGCAGAGGGGCCCGGAAATGCAGAAGTGGTAACACAGAGATTAGATCCTCTGTGAGGAGGCTCAACCCAGTCCCCACCAAGGGCCTTGCGCTGCTGCAGGTGACATTTGTGCTGGAGAAATGACCCTGAAGGACCAGGCCGCGCGGCTGCCTTCAGCTCTGCTCTTTCTTCTTGTCCCAGGTGAGGGGCTGGGCCTGGGCGGAGGAGTCTGCCTTGAGCGGGAGAGGGGAAGGGCAGGATGGAGGTGGGTTGAGAAGTGGCCCCCAGGGGAGGGAAGGGGGACGTGGGAGGGAAGAGGGAGAGGCAGAGAAGCTTCTGGGAGGAGCCAGCACCTGCCTCGGCAGTGACCAGGAGGATTCTGCGCATAAAGCAGGGGAGTCTTGGTCACTGTGCTGGACAGAATAGTGCTAGTGAGGGGGGTGTCTGTGATAGTCATTACCTCGATTGTCACAGTCAGGAAGGATGTCTTGGAGCATCACACACACGCACGCACGCACGCATGCACACACACACACACTCAGTTTACCACGCTGGCCTTTCTTGTCTCCATGGACACCCTCTCCCTGTGCCACCTCTGTGAGGAGGGAGCTACGCCCTCCTCTTCCCCTCTCCTGGCTCTGAGGAAAGGCTCCAGTCTCCTGCCGCGGCCTCCTCCAGGCCCCGAGGACCCTTGAGGGACCTGCACCCCAGGGAGTCCTGGACTCAGGCCCATCCACTGAGGAGCTGGGACTCGCCTGTATTTTCCAGGCTCTCTGTCTCTGAGTGGTCCCAGAACCGTGACCGGCACCATCGGGGGATCCCTGAGTGTGCAGTGTCGGTATGACGAGGAATACAGAGAACATAAAAAATACTGGTGCCAAAACTCAAAGTGGCCACCGTGGAGGAGGAAGATTGTGGAGACCACAGAGTCAGAGAGAGAAGCGAGCCGTGGCCGCGTGTCCATCAGGGACCACCCCGCAAACCTCACCTTCACCGTGACCTTGGAGAGCCTCACAGAGGCTGACACAGGAACTTACTGCTGTGGGATCGATACACGGTGGTCTGGAGGAGTTTTACGTGACTCCACCTTCCAGGTTGAGGTGTCTGTGTTGCCAGGTGAGTGCCCCCCCCAACCTCACACCAGCACCAGGGCTGCCTGAGTCCAGGGCTGGTCACTCGGACCCTCAGGAAAGATGTGGGACATTGGATAGAAGAGCTGGGCAAGGTTAAGGGTCAGAGACAGGACGCAGGGTGTCTGCATGCATGTGTGTGAGTATGTATGTGTCCATGTGTGCATGTGTGTGTATTTATGTGTGTGTGTGTTATGTTGTCTGCACAGGCACACAAGCACATGCTCACCTCTGGCTGTTCTAGACCCTTCTGTGTACCGCACCCTGACACCTTCTCAGGCCTGAAGCTTTCCTGGGAGGGGGAACTGCCCTGAGTCCAGGGACAAGCTGCCTGCCTGTCCTCACAAAGGCCGTGGTCCCTCTGGAGGAGACCGCGTGTCTCCTTCATCCCTCTCTTGGTCCCCTCCACGGGAACAGGACCCCTGGGGCATCTGCTCCTCTCACTCACAGCTGCCCATCACCCTGGGCCCTAAGAGGATGTCACTAGGTGGTGGCTGGTTCCCGAGACACCAGCCTCCCAGCCGCGGTCCTGAGGGCCTGCAGCAGCCACAAGAGGGGCCCAAGATAGAGCCCCGGACCCCAAGGGCCCTTGAGGGAGCCGCACCTCAGGGTGCCCTTGTCCCAGTCCCATCTGGTGAGGAGCCAGGCCTTGGCTATGTTTTCCAGGCTGTCTGTCTCTGAGCGGCCCTTCTCAGAGGAACTTTGGTGACCACCCTGTCCATCCAGGCTGATCCTGACCCCTCCTTTCCATTGCACTTTGTACCCACAGAGAGACCCCTGAAACCCCAGAGAAACCCCTGAAATCGCTCCCCCTAGGCAGAGGAGAAGAAGGGTGAGAAAATGGGGTCTCGGGCGTTATGGCCCCAAGTGTACTTTGGTTCTTCTTTAACAGAACCCTGCCCTTGTTTCCTGAAGACCAGACCCAGGTCCGCCTCTGAGTGTGTGGCTTCCCCTGGGTTCTTGTTCTGACCTTGTCTCTGGCTCCTGAGTCCCCTCCAGTGGGTCCTGGTTTCCCTTATGGGAGCAGTTTCTCTCACCTACCCCTTCGGGTTCCTGTTTAAGATGAGCAACTGAAAATCCACTGGAACAGCTGGGTGTGTGAGAGAAACAGGCTTGTCCACTTGGCTTTGGGACAGGCCACTTTCTATGGGGTCATCCAGGTGCACGTCTCTCTCGATCTTTCTTTCCGGTCATTCCCTCCCCGTGAGGAGACTGTCCAGTGGCCACCCGGGGCCGTAGGCCTGGCTGAGTGCCCTGAGCGACTCGGGGTCCCTCTGTTCAGGCAGACTCTGCTGTATGTCCTTGTTTCTTTGGACCTCGCTCCAGCCATCAGCCATGCCCGAGGGCCTTGGCTCTGCCATCGCCCTGGATCAATCTCTACAGAGTAATGTCACCCCCTCTGTCCCCTGACAGGGTAGACAGCAAGCACAAAGGTGTGGCTCTGGCTGGGGTGTGACCTGGAGCCAAGTGCTCTCCACACTCTCAAGTGTCCTGGTGAGCAGGATGACCTTGCACCTGAAAGGGCCCACCTAGCCCGGGAGCGCCTGGAGAGGGGGCCATGGTGCTGGTCAGGCCCTGGGGTGGCCATGAGGGATGTTGGACCCAGGCCATCTGTCCAGGTGGTCTGAGTGACCTCAACTGTGTGAGTCAGAGACACACAGGTGACAGAGAGTGGGAGAGTGAGTGAGAGGACACGGGGCCTGATGTACGCTTCTCCCTTACCCACCACAGCAGCCCCCACCCCGAAGATCTTCACAAGCACCCCAGGTCCTCCCACGACCCTGCCAGCAACCACCAGGTCCAGCACAACAAGGCAAGAAACTGCAGATCCCAGCCAACACCATCGGTGAGGCGCCCGGGTCCCCGGACTTTGACCCCTGGGTGACTTCTCCTCCAGGCGAGGGAGCGGTAGAGGGATTCGTGCCACCCTTCCCGCGGGCCCCTCATTTATTTACCAATTCCACACCTGATCGTGAAGGGCATACTAAGTGCCGGCTGCTCTTCTGCAGATGCAGCAGCGGACCACACAGACACGAGCCTGCTCCGACAGAAGTCGTGTTCTCGGGGGAGTCACACAATGAATAAATCAATATAAACATGCCAGTTGATGATGAACGCTCGGGGAAAACCTGTCCCATGGGTTTGGGGAGAGCATGTGGGGTGGGGGTGATGGGGATTGCTGTTTAATACGCAACGATCAGGGGCCTCGCTGGTTTGAGGACATTTGAGTGAAGAGCTGCAGGGTTTGGGGAGCCAAGCACGTGGGCATCTGCAGAAATAGGGATCCAGGCAGAGAGAAGACCCAGCGCAAACATCCCGCAAAAGGAGCTCTCCAGAGCCCGGCCCAGGCCAAGGCAGGCGGCAGGTGTCCTGGGGATTGGCGGCCCCTGCGCTCTCTCCCCAGCCTCCCTCCGAGCCCTGGTCAGAAGTGTCATCCTGTGGAGAACCCAGGCCTCAGAGGGAGGTGGGAGCTGAGGTGGGTCATGCATTCGTTCCATCAACTGCCACTGACTTTTAAGGGCTGACATCTTGGAGGCACCGGGCAGGTACCAGCTGCTCACTGTGAATAAAACAGTCTCTTCCCTCGTGGGAAATGCTGCTTGCCGGAGAGCAGATCTCACACAAATGACCTTGTTATTTATCACGAGACCACAGGTGGGATAGCCCCCAAATGTGGAGGGCTCAGGTAGAAATCCTTCTTCTGGGCCCAGGTCCCACCCGGGTCCCTGGGTCTCCCTCACATCATTCTAACAGCCATGACCTTCCTTATGCCCACTGTCCTAATTTTCAAGAGCCATCATTAGGCACAGAGTCGGGGGCAGTGGTCTTTCAAGTGGGGCTGCTCTGCCCAGGGCTGGTCTTTATGTGGACTGTGTGGCCACAGGACCTGCACACAGGGATAGGGGGAAGGGGAGGGCACCAGGGCCTCCCCTGAGGATGCGGCTCACTGTCTGTCACTGTGTCCCCCACAGGTCCCTGCTCAGCAGCGTCCGCTTCCTGCTGCTGGTCTTCCTGGAGGTGCCCCTGCTCCTGAGCATGCTCAGTGCTGTCCTCTGGGTGAACAGACCTCTGAGGGGCTGTGGGCAGAGGCGGAGTCAGCCTGATTGTGAGAACCAGTAGCACCTGTTGGGTATCGACGCCCCGCCCAGGAACACAGCCTCTGTGGTGGATGGGAATGACCTTCAGACCAGTAAATCCAGTGTCATTGTCCACGTTTCTGTGAGAACACCATGATTATGTGAACTTTTTTGAAACTTTTTTCTTGCAATGTATCATACACACAAAAGAACGTACCTAATAAATGCATACTCTTTCAACCAGGAAGACCCTTCAATACTTGCATGCCCACCTTACTACAGCTTAAATAATAAACATCATTAATTCTGAAGTCCAAAGCTCCTCCTCTGAGGGAGCCAACTCTGAATTTTACATTCATCATCTTCTCGTTTTCATCACAGTTTTGCCATAGTATTTCCAGAGTATGTACATATACGTATTTTTTTTTAATAAATTGTGACTGTGGGGTTTTTTTAGATTTTATTTTTCCTTCTTCTCTGCAAAGCCCCCCAGTACATAGTTGTATATTTTAGTTGTGGGTCCTTCTACTTGTGGCATGAGGGACGCCACCTCAGCATGGCTTGATGAGCGGTGCTAAGTCCGAGCCCAGGATCTGAACCAGCAAACCCTGGGCTGCCGAAGCAGAGCGCGTGAACTTAACCACTCGGTCATGGCCCCTATACATATGGTTTTAACAATACCCATGATTACTTTATTTTTATTTTCTTTCAGTTTTATTTAAATATAACTAACATACAGCATTGTGTAAGTTTAAGGTGCACAATGTGTGGATTTGATACCACGATGCGTTAGCTAACATCTCCATCATGTCACATAGTTACGACTTCTTTTTGGTGGTGAGAACATTCACTCTGGAACCTGTGTCCTGGTGCACATGTTCAAAACTTTTTTGTAGAGTCTAGTTCTAGGAGAGAAATTGCTAACTTTCACTGCATGTGTTTAATCGGCTCTACCAGGCAGTTCCAAACTATTTTCCGAAGATCCTGGACCAGTTTGCACCCTCGTCAGCAGTCCCACTGCTCTGAATCCCAGATGTCTGAAATTTTGCCAAGTTAATGGGTGTGAAATGATATCTCGTTGTTTTAATTTGAATTTCTCTGACTACTAATGAGATTAAAACTCTTTTTTGCTTTTATTGGTCATTTGGATTTCTTGTTTTGTGAAATGCTTGTTCTAGAGTCTTGTTTATTTTGGGGTGTTTTGTTTTTGTTTATTTGGTGAGGAAGATTGACCCTGAGCTAACATCTGTGCTAATCTTCCTCTATTTTATATGTGGGATGCTTTCACTGCGTGACTTAATGAGCAGTGTGTATCTCTGTGCCCGGGATCCAAACCTGCAAACCCTGGGCCACCAAAGTGGAGTGTGCTAACTTAACCACAATGCCACCGGGCCAGCCCCGAGTCTAGTCTATTTCATATTGTTTTTCTTATTGATTTGTATAAATTCTCTACAAGTCCCTTGTTAGTTACATGTATTGCAATATCTTTTCCTAGTTTGTGCTTTATGGTGTCTTTTGAAAAATGCTTTTTAATTATAAGATAGCAAATTATTCAACCTTTTGCTTCATGATTTATACTTTTGTAACTTGTTTAAGAAATTATTTCACAATTCCAAAATTTCTTTAAATCTTCTATATTTCATCTAAAAGTCTAAAATTTTTCCCTTTGATGAGCAAGTTCTGGATCCATTTTTAATTGATTTTTTGTTACTAAGCTGAGATGGTAATCAGTCTCATCTTCCATATGGACAAGCATTGTCCACATTTTCCCACGGATCTGTAATGTGACTCCTAAGATATATTGATTTCTGTGTATGCTTGGACCTTTTTTGGGAGTCTTTATTCTATTTGTCTAAGTGCTTATTTCTGGACTGATACAGCGCTGTTTTAACTATTACAGCTTTATTAAAAGTCTTGATGTTTGGTAGAACATCACTGCACATTGTTCTTTGATATCAGTAAACTTTGCAAACATTGGCCATTTCCTCTTCCATATAAATTTTAGAATTAATCAGTCATGGTTCTAAGACACAAAAACTCTGTTGAAACTTTGAATCCAATTGTATCAACGTCATCTTTATGGTAATTTCCCTATCCGTAAACCTGGTACATAACTCCAATTATTTTTGAGCTTTTAAAATGTCTCTTAGTGAAGAGGATTCTGGGGAGATGTCAGAGTAGGAAGCACTAGGAATCTGTGTACACGTCCAGACAACAATCATACGGCACAATCTGTCTGGTGTAACTCTTTTGGATCTCTGGAGTCTATTTGAACTCTAGAGTCTATTGAAGGCTTACAATTTCCAGAGGAAATCTCAGAGGTAAATTACAGTTAATTTCAGTCAATTTCGGCTCTTAGCACAGTAGCAAATACCCATCCCCCACCCCCAGCCACATGGCAGCAGCTGTGCACATGTTCCTGGAGCAACCTGCACACACGTCATGGGGGCCAGGGAAGGCAAAAAGGACCTTGTGCTCCAAGTGGTGGAGATTTATGTTCTGATCACAGAGGTGCAGACAAAGAAGAGGGCACCGAAGACCTATAACCAGTAGGGAGATTGAATCAGTAATCAAAAATGCCCTGACAAATAAAAGCCCTGGACCTGATGGCTTCACTGGTGAATTCTACCAAACATTTAAAGAACTAGTATCATTCCTTCCCAAACTTTTACAAAAAACTGAAGAGGAGGGAACACTTCCTAACTCATTCTACAAGGCCTGCATTAGCCTGATACCAAAGCCAGACAAAGACATTACAAGAAAAGGATACTCAAAAAAGATGCTCAAAAAATACCATATATAAATACTATATATAAGTACTATGTATAAATACAAACTGAATTTGTAACCGCCAAAGGGGGTCTTCTACTCGCTGGAAGACACACCAACAGTCAGGAGGCAAGTTTGCAGGAGAGAAAGGGGCTTTTTATTACAGCTTGCCAGCAAGGGGGAAGATGGCAGACTAATGTTTTAAAGAAGCATCTTAAAACCACAAAATTTGGAAGCAATTATATAGGGTAAATGGGCCCAAAGGGGGGGGGCGGGGGAGGGTCTTGGAATGTTGACCATCTGGTGTTGTGGTCCTTGAGGCTACAGAGCATCCCTTTCTCTTGTCACTGGTGACAGATACCAGCAGAGGGCGTTTTCCTGAAGGTCGTTACATACCTAGAAAAGGTGAAAGAACAATTTATTGTCTTATCAGAATAGAGGGGTCTAGGTATAAGCCAAGGCTACGAAAATAGCAGAGCATGCATATTTCTCACGAGCAGATGTGTGCTTATCGAGGCTACGTGCAAACTAAAGCATTGCTAACGAGGAAAAGTTGGTGTCATTTTTAGTCCTGACATGGTTCCCCTCTATAAATGGCTTCCCTTATGCTAACCTATGCTAACCATTGGCTATGTTTATCTTAGCTATTTAGGAGGTGCTGACAAATTCAGTAGCATATTAAAAGGATTATACCCCATGACCAAGTGAGATTTATTCCTGGAATGCAAGGATGGCTCAACATACAAAAAATTGATCAACTGCATTAAAAACAATCACTACATTAACAGAATGAAGGAAAAAAACCTCAAATGGTCATTTCAACTGATGCAGAAAAACCGTTTGACAAAATTCAACACCCTCTTGTGGTAAAAACACTGAGCAAGGTAGGAATAGAAGGAAACTACCTCAACAATAATAAAAGCTATATTTGAAAAATCCATAGTAAACATCATATTCAATGATGAAATGGAAAGTTTTTCCCCTAAGATCAGTAACAACGTAAGATATCTACTTTTGTCACTTCCATTCAACACAGTCCTGGAAGTCCTCCCTAGAACAATTAGGCAAGAAAAAGAAAGAAAACACGTCCAAACTGGAATAGAAGCAGTAAGATTATCTCTGTTTGCAGATGATATTATCTTATACAGAGAAAACCCTGAAATTCCACAAAAATCTTTTAGCACTAATAAATGAATTCAGCAAAGTAGCAGGAGGCAAAGTTAACACACAAAAATCAGTTACATTTCCATACACTAACAATGAACAATCTGAAAAGGAAACTGTCAAAAACAATTCCATTGACAATAGCATCAAGAAATATAATACTTAGGAATTAACTGAGGAGGTGAAAGATTTGTACAGTGAAAACTGTGAATTATTGCTGAAAGAAATTAAAGAAGACATAAATAAATGGAAATACATCCCATGTTCACGGATTGGAAGGCTGAATATTATTAAGATGTCAATACCACCCAAAGTGATCTACAGATTCAATGCAATCTCTATCAAAATCTGAACAACATTTTTTGCAGAAATAGAAAAACTCACCTTAAAATTCATATGAAATCTCAAGGGACCCCAAATAGTCAAAATGATCATGAAAAAGAAGAACAAAGTTGCAGGACTTTCCTGATTTCAAAACTTACTGCAAAGCTACAGTAATTAAAAGAGGGTGACGTTGGCATAAATTCAGATGTGTAGATCGATGAAATAAAATAGAGTCCAGAAACAAATCTTCACATATATGATTTTTTTTTCTTGAGGAAGATTGGCCCTGAGCTAACATCTGTTGCTAATCTTCTTCTTTTTTTTTTTCCTCCCCAAAGCCCCAGCACATAGTTGTGTATCCTAGTTGGAAGTCATTCTAGTTTCTTCTCTGTGGGATGCCACCACAGCATGGTTTGATGAGTGGTGCATAGGTCTGCGTCCAGGATCCAAGCCAGCGAACCCTCAGCTGCTGAAGAGGACTGTGTGAACTTAACCACTCAGCCAAGGGGCCAGCCCCCGCATATATGATTTTTGACAAGGGGGCCAAAACCATTTAGTGAGGAGAGGACAATCCTTTCAAAAAATGGTGCTGGAAAAACTGGATATCCACATGCAAAACAATTAAGTTGGACTCTTACCTACCAGCACATACAAAAACTAGCTCAAAAGACATCAAAGACCTCAATGTAAGACCTAAAGCTCTAAAACTCTTAGAAGAAAACATAGGGCAAAAGCTTCACAACACTGGATTTTGTGATGACTTCTTGGATATGACTCCAAAGGCACAGGCAATGAAAGAAAAAATAGACAAATTAGATGCATGAAGATTTAAAAATTTTGTGCATCAAAAGATACTATGAACAGAGTAAAAAGATAACCCACAGAATGGGAGAAAATATTTGCAAATCTTATGTCTGATAAGGGATTAGTTTCAAGAATATATAAAGAACTCCCAAAACTTAATAACAAAATGACCCAATTCAAAAATGTGCAAAGGACTTGAATAGACGTTTCCTCAAAGAAGATATACGAATGGCCAACAACATGAAAAGATGCTCAACGTCACTAATCATTAGGGAAATGCGAATGAAAATACAATGAGATACCACCTCACACTCATCAGGATGGATACTATCCAAAAAATAAAGGAAAAAAACAGAAAATAACAGGTATTGTCAAGGATGTGGAGAAATTGGAAAGCTTATGCACTGTTGGTGGGAAGGTAAAATGGTACAGCTGCCTTGGAAAACAGTATGACAGTTTCTCAAAAAAATTAAAAATAGAATTACCATATGATCTAGCAATTCCATTTCTGAGTATATACCCCAAAAAATTGAAAGCAGGGTCTCCAAGGGATATTTATACACCATATTCATAGCAGCATTATCCACAATAGCTAAAATATGAAAGCAACCCAAGTGCCCATCAACGGATATATGGCTAAGCAAAATGTGGTATATACATAGAATGGACTATTATTCAGCCTTAGAAAAGAAGCAAATCCTGACACATGCTACAACAGAGATGAACTTCAAGGACATTATGCTAAGCGAAACAAGCCAGTCACAGAAAGACAAATACTGTATGATTCCACTTATATGAGCTGCCTAGAGCAGTCAAATTCACAGAGACAGAAAGCAGAATGGTGGTTACCGGGGGTGGGGGTGGGGCATGGGGGTTTATTGTTTAATTGGGACAGAGTATCAGTTTTATAAGATGAAAAGAGTTAGAGAGATGGGTGGCAGTGACGGTGGCACAACATTATGAATCTATTTAACGCTACTGAGCTGAACACTCAAAACGGTAAATTTTTTTTTTTAAGATTTGTTTTTTCCTTTTTCTCCCCAAAGCCCCCCGGTACATAGTTGTATATTCTTCGTTGTGGGTCCTTCTAGTTGTGGCGTGTGGGACGCTGCCTCAGCGTAGTTTGATGAGCAGTGCCATGTCTGTGCCCAGGATTCGAACCAACGAAACACTGGGCTGCCTGCAGCGGAGTGCGCGAACTGAACCACTCGGCCACGGGGCCAGCCCCACAAAATGGTAAATTTTATGTTGTGTGTATTTCACTACAATAAAAAAATTTTTAATGTCTTTTAATAATGTCATATTATTTTCTCCCTAAGAATTGTTTACATATTTGTTCAATTTAATTTTGGATATCTTAGTGTTATTATTTTAAGCGGTATCTTTCTTATTAAATTTTGAAGCTGTGCTTTGCATGTGCAATATTTCTATGTTGACCTGGTATATGCGTAGCAACTTTACTAAAATCTGACTAGTTCTTCCCAGTTGTATATGTGGACAATAATTCATCTATAACTATTTAGAATTGTGTTTCTTCCTTTCCCATTCTCCTTTTTTCTGCCTCCTTTTCTTGTCGTGTTGTGTGGACTAACCAAAGCGTTGAGTCAAAGTGGTGACTATGAGCCTTCTTATCCTCCTCCTGCTTTTAAGGGAAAGACTTCTCACGGATTGCCATTGGTTTTAATATTTGAAGGATGTTTGCTTCTAGATACCCTTCTATTCCTAGTTTGTCATGAAAAGTAATGGATTTTACATAATGCTTTTCATGCATTTAATTTCTTGATTTTGTGGTCTTCCTCCTTTATTCTATTTATGTGGCTCTATACCCAGTGTCTGAGGTTTCACCATAATAACATAGAGTGCTAACCCCCTTCCAGGACAGAGACAAAAAGTGAGGCTCAGAAAGGTTAAGTAGGTTGTCCACAGTCACACAGCTTGTAAGTGGTACTGTGGGCTTAGAGCCCAGGTCTGTCTGATCCCCAGCCTGCACTTTCATGCATTTGGCTATAACATCTGAACACACGCCCTCCAGGTATGACGGGCATGCTCGCCTGACACCTGAGGGCTGGGGGGGCTTGGGAGGGGGTCCCTTCTGCTGGGCCCCATTGTTGTGGTGGAGAACCGTTCCTGGAGTTGACACCCAGAATGTACCCCTCGAACCCAAGGCCTGATAAGGCCAGCTGCCACCCCCCGCCAACCCTTCAGATCTGCCCCGCTCCTCCTCACCCTACACAACTCCCTCACTTCTTCTTTTGTACCCAGTGGGGACTGTCGTGCCCTGTGACCCAGCCCTGCCAAGAAATGACACCCCTTTTGCTGAATAATTAAAAGGAGGAAATACTCACTCTATAAAAGGAAGTGAAGAGTAAGAAACTCAAGGCAGTCTGGACAAGCAGAAGGGGCAGGCCTGGGCTCAGGCAGAGCTTCGAGAGTCCAGCTGGGGTCCGGGTGCACCCTCGGGTTGTAGATCAGAGGGGCCGGACCATGTGGCTGCCCCCAGCTCTACTCCTCCTCAGCCTCCCAGGTGAGTGCAGCTGCGGCCTCGGGAACTTGGTACTGCAGGGGGGGCAGGGGCAGGGAGTGGCTGTCCAGGGTCGAGAGCAGGTGTCGCATCCGGGGAAATGAGAAGGGACTTTGTTAATTCATTCAGAAAAGTACATGGGGCCCTACTGCCTTATGAGCATGCATCAGGCCCTGAGGACATGAAGGGAAAAGAGAGAGAGGGCTGGCCGCTAAAAAGAGGACCCGGACGGCTCAGTGGGTGAGACACATGGATAAACAACACCGACGGTAGGACACAGAAGGCACAGACGGAGGTGTGCTCAGAGGGCGAAGCCGGTCTGACTGGGGGAGCTGCAGAAAGCCCCACAGAGGCTGTCCATCTGATGAGCCTGGAAGAAGGGATCAGCCCTTGCAGCAGAGAAGCGTGAAGAGCGTTCCAGGGAGGGGGGCTGCTAAGCCAAGGAACGGAGCCTTGAGAAAGGATGTTCGTGCAGAGAGAGCTCTCGGTGTGCAGGGCGCCGCGGGGCGACTGGTTGGACGTGAGGCTGACAACGCAAAAGGGAAGATTACAAAGGGCCTTTGACACTGCGCCCAGGAACTGCGACTTTTGAAGAGAAAATTGCTCAGGTGGAAGAGGGGAGGGACTCGAGTCTCTCTTCTCTGTTGAAAACTACTGCGCTCACTGGAGGCCGTCAGGGGCCAGTCTGGAAGCTTGCACCACATATGCAGTATGTGCGGGCTGCACAGTCCTCTCTGGGGGCCCGGGGACTAACCATCTGGCACAAACAGACTGGTTCACAGAGGGGCTGCAGCGGGGAGCAGAGCCAGGGAGTCAGGAAACTCGAGGTCCAGTCCTGATCGCGCCGCACGATGCGGGCAAGCTGTTCTCAGACCTGGATTTCCGGTGTGAATGGACAGTCCCTGAGGCCCTTTCCAGCTCTAACGCTGTAGGACCCTATGATTCAGATAGGATATAAATAGACTAGGGCTGTGAGCGTTCCCGAATTATCGCTGCCACTGCCGATCGTGTCGATGATGAAGAACCCCGTGATGATGCCTGTAGACCGGCTGCGAGGGCAGCGGCTTCTCTGTGACTGCAGCAGGCTTCCAAATGGCCCAGAATTCCCAAAGGACAGCAATCCAGAACGCCTGCCTCTCCCCCCGCCTCCAGCTCTGCTCTAGAGTTCAGAGACCCCATCTGCTCCCTCCCTCAACCCCAACGGCTAGTTCACCTGGAGGTCAAGGAGAAGGGCCTGAGCTCACACACATAACACACACAAGGGAGTCAAATGCACACCCGCATGCAGTCACACCCTGCACACGTCAATATTCTCACACAGTCCTACACAGTCACAACCTCACACTCACACACACACGGTCCCACTCACAGTCAGACACACACGCACATATACTCACACACAGGGACACAAAATGACACATACACTGCACACACCTTCCAGTCACACACACGCTTACACAGTCTCTCCCATTCACACACAAATTTGCTCTCATACTCACACACAAACACACACATATATATCACAAACACGCTCAGACACACACACACACAGAGTTAAACATACACTCGCGCACACACACTCTTCTCCCCCAGACGAAGGCAGAGACCCACAGTGGCTGTTCTGTGGCTTGGGGAGGGGGCGGTGCTGCAGAGGCAAGACGGGGAGTCCTTGCTCCTCCAACTCTGAGGTAACGTGGGAAGTGGGTGGAGTTAGGATAAAAGAAAAGCCACCCGGCCAGGTGTTCACCAGCAGACTGCCATTAGCCCCTCAGGGGTTATTTCTTGAAATGAAGGAGAGAAAGTGGACGGGGTGGAGTCAGGATGACCCCTCTTCTGTAGGACATTCTCTTGTCTGCTCGGTGACGTGATCCCCCCACAACCCCTGTAGGAGGGAGGGGCACTGCCTAGAGCAGGTGTGCAGGAAGTGTTTGCAAGTGGAAGAACAGACCCCTGAGGAAAGTGACACGAGAATGGCCAGGAGCACAGACTTGTACCCTAGACATTACTCTTCAGACCTGGAGCCGGCAGGACGGCGTGGGGCCGTCACAGAGACTCCCCGCCCCGTGACAGCAAGTAAGATGGCCTCGAACCTCACGGCACACCCCACACCCCGTGCGCATCTCTGCTCCGAGTTCCCTCCTTGGCTGCCTTTGACTCATTTTGTGTGTCATTTGTCACCTGCTGTCAGCCCAGACACGGAGCTCAACCATCGTCTCCATTTTGAGACAATTCACACTAGGATTTCACAGATGTGGCAAACTTTCCTGAAGGCCTGACATGAAAGGGGAAGGGGAAATTGAAATTCAGACAGCCTTATGCTTTTAAATTCCACCAGCCTGTTCTCTGAGCCCTGCTCCCCGCGCTCTGCTTTTGCGCCTCTTCCTTCAAACCAACTCCTGAAGGTTCTCAAAGGCCTAACTGATAGTTCCATCCATCCTACTCTGTGTTTATAAAAACCTCCCACGTATTTTTTAAAAACGAGTCAATCACATTATAAACACTTTACTGTGCAATTAAATTGCCAACACTGCCGCTGATAAGACTTCTATTTCAAAATAGCAGTATGTCTTTTCTGCTGTTTGTCATTACTGGCAAATACGATCTATACTAAACCCCTGCTTTCTGCTATAGCTGTGTGATTTTTTTTCTTGAAGAAAATGACCGTCTCTGTTGACTCTTGCATTTAATTTTCATTTATATCGATTTCCATCTCTTAGCAGCCCTCTTCCTGACTGACTCCTTTTTTGTTTTTTAAAATCTTTTTTTGTTTTGTCAGTTAATGATATTGTAAACATTTTAACATTATAGAAATGTATGATTTAGAAAGTAAAATTTCCCCCCACAAAACCTAGTCTCAGTGCTAACCATGGTTAAAAGGTTAGAACACATATTTTCAGAATTTTTCCTATGCATGTACTATAGAAAAACCACAGAAATGGAATCATACGTATTGTTAGGCAACATTTTTTAACCTGATAATAATACACCTGGGGCATCTTTCCTATCGTTATCTGTGATTTGTCTTTTTCTTTTAACCGTGTTATGGATGGGCCATAATTTATTCGCCCAGTGCGCATGAACGGCATCTGAGTGTGTTTCCAGCATTTGCTGTTGCATTAGCACTGCAATGAGCATCCTTATACTTCACTGCCCATTGCTGTGGAAATTGCAGTTAATCCTAGAACTGAAACGATTAAGTTCAAGATCCTGATGACCAGCTTCTTTTCAAAACAATCATAAGCTTTATTGATACCTATCAGACACTGTGCAAGACACGGGGGCTGGGGGTGGGAAGAGAGAGGAAAAACAAACATCAAATCTCTGCTCTTCGGGACAGAGTATCCTAGCGAGGGAGATGGAGAGAGAGACACTGCCAGTGATGGAAAAGTACCAGTGCGGCATTCAGGTGCCTAAGGGTTATGGGAGCAATGGGAGGAAGTCTGGCTGGGGAGGGAAATAAGACTTTGCAAAGAAGGCTAAACCTTGAAGGAGATGTCAAGGGTGAACGGATGGGCAGGGCCTGGAGAAGGGGTTTCCAAGTGGAAAGAAGGACATGAGCAATGACACAGCTGCTTGGGAGGGCATATCAGAGTAGGGGGAAGAGAAAAGTGGGGCCCGATTACAGGGTAGAATGGGAGGCAGGGAGGGGCAGGAAGTGGCACTGAACAGAGAACTTGGATCCAGATTTTAAAAACACTTGAATGTCAACCCACAGCATTTTAAATCGTTCTGAGGCAGTGGGGCACGGCTGCAGGAGAGATCCTGAAAGATTTTTTAAATGCTCACCACAAGTGCAGCTGAGGATGAGGTGGGGGCACTCCCAGTGCATAACTCCAGCAGAAACACACAGAGAAGACTGGAGGAGGGGTGCAGCAGGAGCTGGGGAAACCCCCCTGGATGCTATGGCCATGATCCAGGCACCAGATGAGGGCCCAACCTATCGACAGGCTATCGATGATGGGGCAACCCCCAGATGTCTGGAATTTGACACATATCCAAGTCTTATGACAACCTGCATGGTGGAGGTAGCATAGCCAACTTAGAAACAAGGAAGCGAGACCCAGCGAGGTTAAGTAACTCACCCAAGGTTTCCCAACTAGTTTGTGGTAGAGGAGTCTTTCTGTGTCCAAAATTCATTCTCTTTCTGCTGTGGCATGAAGTCCTCATGGACTGTGACGGAAGAGGGAAGAAGAAAATCATTTTGAGAAGCATTGTTGAGGTAGAGTTGACCAAATTGGTTACCAGTCGGTTGTGGAGGGAGAAGAAGGGGACGGGACCAATGAAGATGCTAAGTTTTCTAGTTAGATGCACTAGTGACTAGTGACGTTGTGGATTTGAAGAACATAAAGTTAGTTCTGCTGATTGAATACTATGTTACTTCATGGTAGGTGCTGTAACAAATTACCACAAACTCAGCGGCTTGAAATGACACAAATTTATTATCTTACAGTTCTGAAGGTCAGAAGTCCAAAATGGTCTCACTGGCCAAAACCAAGGTGTAGGCAAGGTCGCATTCCTGCTGGAGGGCCTGGGGCAGGATCCATTGTCTCGCCTTTTCCAGCTTCGAGAGGCCGCCTGCATTTCTTGGCTCATGACCGCTTTCTCCATCTTCAAATCTCTCTCTGCCTCTGACACTAACTCTCCTTCAACCTTCTTTCACTTGTAAGGACCCCGGTGATGGTGTTGGACCCACCTGGATAATCCCTCTCAAGGTCCTTAATTTAATCCCATCTGCAAAGTCTTTTTCCATGTAAAATGACATATTCACGGGTTCTGGAGTTAGGACATTGGGTTCTGGAGTTGCGGGGGGGCATTATTCTGTCAATCACAAATGCAAACCTCAAGTAAACGAAAAGAGCATCAGGGAGAAGATCAGAGGCGTGAGGAGGCAGCACGTGCCTGATGCAACGGACCCCACTCTCTCCACCCCACAGAGACCCCCGGCCTGGCCTTGAGGCTCTGAGGCCATAAAATGGTCAAGAGAGGCTTCCACTGTACTTCTCTGTGCTTATGCACTTCCCTATGGTCAAGGCACACGTGGACGTCGCCAAGGACAGAGAGAGTATCTGAACACAATCAGTTTAAGTGGAGTCAATCCATAGACGGCAGTACCCATCCAACTCATGCTCACCTCTAACCTGTTTCACTCCCATCGGGCCTTTGCTAGTCTGTCCACTCGACCCCTCTACTAGCGGGAGGAAATACTGAAGAAGGGTAAGTTCAGGTGGAAGAGGTGGTGCATTTAGTTCTGTTAACTATTTCTCTGGGGGTAGAGATAGCCAGAGTGTATTTGCAAAGGGTAGGCTGGAGCTAAGGTGAGAATTTGGGTCACCAAAACGGATTTGGGAACCATCAGCATCTAGGTGATCGTTGAAACCATGGAAATGGAGGAGCCTCTCCATGGGGTGCATGAAGGAGACAAGATGAAGGCCGGAGAGAGCCCGGGGTTAGCCCCATGAAGCTGGCTCCCACTGGCTCATAAGAGCTGCCTTGGGACAGCTCTTCCCAACTCTGTGATCAGTGACATCGCATTGATAGCCTGAAACCCGCCATGGGGGGATTATTTACACTACGGAAGTGGGAAAATACCACAATCCAGAGATTTTCTTTTCCCTCAGAGGGCTGATTGTTAACTATTTACCAACACACCACTGTTTACACCAAGATTTGAAGAGAAGTGAAATCAGTAGAGACAGAGTAGTCAGAGAAGGAAGAGATCAGACGAGAAGAGTACTGAGGGGACGAGGAAAGAAAGTGTCAGGAAATCAGGAGTGTCACATGCTGCAATCAGGCCTAGGGAGATGAGGACCAAAGACCAGGGCACTGTCACTGAGGGAGCTGATGCAGAAGCTGGATGGCAGAGAAGGTGGACGTGAGGGGTCATCTAGGGGGTGGTTGGGAAAGCCAGGGACCCTGGTCAAGTCCCTGGACATCAGTCTGGGGCCATGTGACCCTAGGGGGCTCCCTGGCCAGGCCTGGTTTAAGGGACAGGAGCTGTATCTTGAGATCCTGTCTTCCAGGCTATCTCTCCATCCAAGGCCCAAAGTTTGTGAGAGGCTCAGAGCGGGGCTCCGTGACGGTGGAGTGTCGCTACAAACCACGATGGGAGACCTACACGAAGTGGTGGTGTCAAGGAGCAAGCTGGGAATCATGCAAGATCCTCCTTCAAACCACAGGGTCAGAGCAAGAAGTGAAGACAGACCGTATGTCCATCAGGGACAATCAGAGCAACCACTCTCTCACCGTGACCATGACGCAGCTCAGGCGAGACGACACTGACATTTACTGGTGTGGGATTGAGAGACTCGGACCTGACCTTGGGGTACAAATTAATGTGACCGTTGACCCAGGTAAGAACTTTCTCATCTACACTGTGAGGCCCTGACGCTCAGGACGGGAAGGGTGAGGGCATTTCTCCCTCTTCCCGAAGGGCAGGAGGGGAATGACTGAGACATGACTGAGACACACAGATGGGGATGGAAATGAGAGAAACTAAGGAAGACCAGCAGCCCAGCCCTCCTGTCCCCATCCCAGTCCCTGGGGTCTCTCCGAGGTATCCAGCTGACACTCCGAAGGGCTGGCAGGGATTGGGATGGGAGTGGGGACATGGACGCCGGTTTCAGTGACCCATGGCCCAGCCCTGCTCTCCCAGGACTGGACAGCCTGGACAGCCTCACATTCTTGCACTGGAGCTCTGGGTGGGCCTCGGACACTCTAGGAAGTGGTCAATCTCTGGTAGTCACACCCTGGACCTGTCATTACATGGAGGGGAGCACCCAGGGCAGCCCCGAGGAACTCCAGGAACTTGGCCAACCCAGAGTGGGTCTGGGCAGTTAGAGTGCCTCTCCTCTCTGGGCCCCTCACCACCCCATCCTCTACTTTGTCTAACTGGATAAGAGTGAGCAAGGGGCGAGAGGGACCCAGGGACAAGCTCGGGTAACAGTGGACACTTTAAGGAGAAAGGAAGGCTTTGACCATTGAGTCAACATTGGGGGCCCCTCTGGCTGCCATGAGGTTTCCCCTGAGCCTTGACCCCATCAAGGGATTCCAAGGTCTTCCTGGCAGCACAGTTCTGCTGCTGTGGCTGGTGCCTGACAAAATGCCCCTCTCCGCTTCCACCCAGCATGTGTGTGCCCAGTCATGCCTCAGCCTGGCGTCCATTGGGCATGGTAGATGGTGATGGGGAAACAGACAACACCAACTTTAAAACAAGCCCGTTTATTGTTAGGGTTGGGACCAGAGAGGGACACAGGGGCTGCCACTGGGTGGAGTGGAGTCCAGAGAGGGCCAGCCAAGCAAAACTTCCCAGTGCTGCCCAGTAGGGGAAGCCAAGATCTGTGGGGACAGAAAAGGGGTTCATGAAGACACATGAGCAAGAACCGAGACAGGCTAAAAACATGCCCCACGGAGATCCTTAGGAAGAAAGGCATTTAGGGGTCTTGGGGGCGTGATTCAGGGAGGCTCCGGCAGAGAGGTCAATCAGGGGCCTCCACAGGGGCCATTATCACTGCAATTTCCTGGCGTCCTGCCAGGAGCTATGTAGTGTGAGCAAAGCCTGGGACCTCGCAGAGAAGTGTTTACCAGGCCCAGGACTCTAATAAAAGGCCAGTCACAGCTACTGTGCCTTGACCAGTGCCACGCTGGGCCCAGGAGCCCATAACCGCGCTGCTCTCCATAAAGTGTCTACATGGTTCCTCCTACAAGTGTTTCATCCCTCGCAGTCACTGGGCACCGTGTAACCCGAATGTACCCTCTGACTCACCAGCCTTCCCAAGGCTACTCCATTTCCAGAACCATCTGTTCTTGAGCCCTGCTCAGGCACTGCTTGAGCAGAAAGGACCAGAGGTTTTTTATCCCTCAACCGACAGTCCCACTTAGAGGGGTAAGTGGAGAGAGTACGAGAAGACTTCTGTCTCTCTCCAGAAGAAACCACAGGGCCTACTCCTATTTAATTTTTGCTTCTTCTTGCCTTGCCTGAAGATGATGGAAAGGTGACTGTGTGTTGTGATTCAGATGACTCGGCAGAAAAGGGAGAAGCCCGAGCAACTGTATCCAAAGAGACGAAGCTTCCTATTCCAGGGGAAGGGGGTCTCCTGGTGAGGGCTGGCCGGGTGGGAGTGGAGTTGGGAGTTTGCACATGAAACCCCAGGCTGGGCTGATAACCTGTGGCCTTCTTTGCCTGTGTCTAGAGGCAACCACACCAGCAAGCCTGCTAACAGCCAGCAACCAAACAGGAGTGTCCTCTGGCTCCTACATCCGGTGAGTAGCTGCAGTCCTTTCTCCTGCCCCTACCTCTCCTAGGGGCCTCTCCTATGGGGCAGCTGACCCTGTGCAGTCACCTGATGCCAGAGCCCATCATATTCAGAGTCAAGGCCCAAAGCCCACCCTCCATCTCCCTCCTGCCCGTGCCACTCGTCATCCGCCATCTTCTGGTTCTGGCCCTCGCCAGAAAACTACTCGCTCTGCAGACCTCTTCTTTATAAGCACCATCTACCCATTCAGTTGTCAACAAAAAAGCACCTCATGGATGCCAAGGGGAGATAAGACACAAATATCCACCATGCAAGGCATCGGGGGCCCCAGAGTAGGAGGGTGAGTTAGCACCCTGGAGCTGGCATTGGCGGGAGCAGCGAGAACCCAGAGGCGGCAATCACAGCCTGTCTCCAGTGATGTGCAGGCACTTCTACTGGGCTGAGATGCACTTCGGGCACAGAGGGGTTCCAGAAGGTGAAATGAGAAAGGAAGGTGAGCCCAGTGCAAAGCAAAATCCAAAAGCCGAGGTTGCTTCTCAGGAGCCCTCATGGTTGAGCCATTGGGAAGGTCCAGAGGGGTCTTTGGAGTGAGGTTGCTGGGCCCAGCAGGCTTTGCTGGGCTGGCTAATGGCTCCACAGTGTCAGGGCGTGACCGGCCTGGAAGGGCCCAGGGCTCTGATCACTCTGCCTCTTCTCACAGGACCCGCTACATGCTCCTGGTCTTCGTGAAAGTGCCTGTCTTGCTCATCTTGGTCGGTGCTGTCCTCTGGTTGAAGGGGCTGAAGTACAACAGGGACTGGCCATCTACACGAACTTGTCCTCTGACCTTCTGACCAAGGACACAGCCCCTTAGACAGAGGGATGGGATGAACCTTCTGACCCTGGACCCTATTTCCAGAGGACACACAGGATGTGTAAGAAATGCCTCTGAGTCCTCAGGATGCAAGGGCTGAGGCTGGGGGCCCTGGAGGCTGGCCGAGCACCCTCCCGGCTCTGCACAGCTCAGGGACACAGCTCGGCGTCATCGCCGCCTGGAGCACCAGCACCTTGTTCCTACTTCTCACGTAGCAAAAGCCCCACCCCACCCCGCCAGGGGTCGGAACTTATGGTCAGGAGCTGTTGGGGTGCAGTCCAAGGGCAGACGGCCATGTCCCCACTGCGGGAAGAACTCGGACACAGAGCCAGGGACACAGCGAGAAGCAGCAGGGATGTGGGAGAGAGACTGAGAGATGCAGCCCTGCCCAGTGCCTGGTTTGCTCCAGGCCGGAGACCAGCCCAGCCCACTCTGTGTCTCAGTTTCTGATGTATGAGATTTTTCTTAAGCTAGTCAAGTTGGGTTGTGATGGCTTGTGCCCATGAGAACCCCAGCTGATGCACACAGAGGGTGATTCTGCAGTGAGTTCCCAGTTCTGGGGTCTGAGAGCTTGGACATCCCCTCTGCCCAGGGAGGACACCGCTCTGAGTACATGGACAGAGGAACGACCGGGAGCCTTCCTGGGCCCAGGCCCAGTGCTGGCCTCCCTCCTTCCTCCTCCTCCTCCTCATCCATCCTGGCTCCCTAGCTCCCTGCCCCACCCCACCCAGGGGCTGGGGCTTCCTGGGAGCTGTGACTTGGGAGTCTGGCCTGCGCCTCCCCTCAGCACCACTGCTCAGCTCTCCCATGGGGCTGCTGGGCCTGGAAACTACCTCAAGATTGGGGAGGGTGGGGTCACAAAGACAGTCTGAGGAAATGATGTCATCTCTTTTAAATAATGTTGTTCAAATAAGGTTAATTAAAACTGTCTGGGGGGAATAACGTTGCCTCTCTTAAACGCTGTTGTTTAAATAATCTTAATAATGAAAAACGTCTAAGGGAAATGACGTCGTCTCTTTCAAGTGCCTCACCGACAGCGATGATGTCCTTGGATGTCACTTTGGGCCACGTGAGTCATGGCCCTCACACCAAAGGGGGCTTCGCTTCACCTCAGGAGAAACAGTCTCATCTGAGATGTGCCCCCCACTTGCAAACACACACATACACACGTTTGGACTGTTTCCCTTTGGTTTCCCTCCTCAGTTTGATTGAGGTATATTTCACAAATAAAAACTGTGTACATGTAAAATGTAGAATGTGATTTTTTAACGGTGTGTACCTTTAAAGTGTTATGATTTAATATACATATACAAATATACATAAACGTATACATTGTGAAATGAGTACCACAATCAAGTAGATTAACACATCCATCCATCCATCACCTCACATAGTTACCTTTGTTTCTGTTTTTTTTCGGTGTGGTGAGAATGCTCAGCAAATTTCCAGGATACAACACAGTATTGCTGACTCCAGTCACCGTGCTGGACAGCAGACCCCCGAATTTATTCATCTCATGACGGAAAGTCCATACCCTTTGGCCAACCTCTCCCCATTTTCCCCACCCCAGACCCTGCCCCCGGTACCCACCATTCTACTCCCTGGTTCTGAGGGATGTTTCCACCTAGAACCCCACTGAGGATGTGTCTACCAGGCCCTCTGTCCCAACAGGTGGGCCCTGGTTCTCAGCCTCACGAGGCCACGGGAAGGTGCCTCACCAGAGGACAAAGGAGAAGGGGCTCTCCGGTCCCCAGCATGGTACCTAGAACCTCCCCTCCCCACCGAGATGCTCTAATCCCCTCTCTCTGCCCGTCAGCCAATGAGAAACCTTCTCTCGCTTGGTTGAGGGCTCTGGTCAGTGACAGGCCTGAAAATTCTGTAGAGTTCGAGTCAGACTAAGACCCTTTAAGGCACCCTGTTGGGGACCAAGGCCCACAGTCCACCAGCTCCAGAGGCCTCCCTTCTGTGAATACTTCCCTGGATCCAACCTCCGGTAGATCCGGCAGTACTCAGGGACACAGCAGCTCTGGGGGAGGCAAAGCCAGAGCCCAGTAGCTTCACCTGCTGGCTCACAGGGGCGAGGGGCCGCTGGCATTTGGGACCTGGTGTCAGTGCTTTTCCCACAGATTCTTACTATTGATATTCAATACCTGCCCCCACCCCCGCCCTCTCCATTTCTTTAGAGATACTGTGGTTGGGCTGTTAGTCTCATAATGTCATCAAGGAGAAGCCATTGGAGTAGGTATCTCCTGATCCCTGCTCAGTGGGGAGCTCCAAGGAGGACCTTTTGGGGAGGTAGGGCCAAGGTTGCGATTCCCATTGAAAGCATAGGATTGGAGCCAGGTCAGGTCCTTGTCACCTCACTTATTCATCCACTCATGTACTCATTCCACAGATGTAACTAAAGTACTTACTAAGCCCAGGCACTATTTCTGGTGCACATGGACTGTTACATGAACGAGGAGAGCCCCTTGCTGTCTCTTTCTATACGTTTGTCTTGAAATGCAAGAGCCTGTTCTCATTTCACCTCCCTCCTTTTATCACTGAAGAGGAAGGTTGCAGCTGAGTAGGGCGATCACAGGCACAGCCACCGCTGGAGACGATTTAGAAAGCACAGCTCGGGACTAAACAGTAATAAGATACTACTATACACCTATTAGAATGGCTAAAATCGAAAATATTGACAACACCAAATGCTCACAAGGATACAGAGCAACGAGAACCCACATTCATTGCTGATGGAAATGCAAAATGGTGCAGCCACTTTTAAGACATTTTGAAAGTTTCTCATAAAACTAAACATACTTTAACCACAGAATCCTGCAATCCTTGGTATTTACCCAAATGAACTGAAAACTCATATCCACACAAAAACCTGCACATGAATGTTTATTGCAGCTTTGTTCATAATTGCCAAAACTTAGAAGGATCCAAGGTGTCTTTCAGTGGGTGAAAGGATCAACAAACTGTGGCCCAGCCAGACAAGAGAATATTATTTAGCACTAAAAAGAAATGAGCTATCAAGCCACAGAAAGACATGGAAAAACCATAAAGTTATATTATTAAAGAAGCCAACCTGAAAAGGCTACATACTGTATGATTCCAACTCTATGACATTTTGGAAAAGGCAAAACTATGAAGACAATAAAAAGATCAGTGTTGACCAGGAGGTTGGGGCCAGGGGCGGGATGAATAGGAGGGTCACAGAGGGTTTTTGGGGTGGAACTACTCTGTGGGATACCATAATTACGGACATATGTCATTATACGTTTGTCTAAACTCATAGAATGTACAACACCCAAAGTGAATCCTAATGTAAACTATGACTTTGGGTGATACTGATGTGTCACTGTTGGTTCATCAATTTTAACAAATTGATGGTCAGGGAGGCTGGGGGCACGGGGCGGGTGGGGACACATGTGGGAACTCTCTGTACTTTCTGCTCAGTTTTCTGTGAATCTAAAATTGGTCTAAAAAATAGTCTATTAACTTTTTTAAAAAGCTAGTGGGAAGATAAAGAGCTTGCATTGGTCACTGTGAACCACTTTGATGAGGAAAAGCAAGCCTCATATTCTAAAGCAACTCTGGAGGCAGTCCCCACTTCCTCTGGCTGACCCTGAGCGCCCTCTGAGGCGGGACCCAGCCTCACCTGCCCCCAGCCTCTTGGGCCCCCCTAACCCATGAGGAGCTCTGAGTGGTGATGCCCCGGGCACTTGGTCCCCATAGCCTCTGCCACCGGAACCTTCAGCACTTCATTTCCGATACCTTCCTCAACTAGTCATCTGTTCTGCTCGTGCACAGTGTCGCAATAGACAGAGATTCTTATAACAAGGACATGTGCAGCTGAGGAAGCTGCATTTAGAATGAACTAGAAGCTTACTAATAGATTTTAAATAGTTTACCAAGAAATGTCAGCCAAGTAGGAGATAAGACGTCTCCGGTTCAGGCACAGTGAATAACAGTTATCTGAAGACAAGAAAGTCGTAAGGGAGATATTATATGGTCATGGTTAAAATTATAGGTTCTAAAATCTGACAGTTCTGAGTTCGAATCCCAGCCCCGCCACTTCCTTGCATGCCACCTTGGATGAGTCACTTACTCTCACTAAACCTCAGTTACCTCATCTGTAAAAGGAGATGATCACAGTGTCTGTCTCACAGAGCGATCACGGGGGTTAAAGAGGACCTGCTGATGAAGCGTTAGCTCAGAGCCCCCATCTACTCCTCGGAAGCGCTTGATGACGTCTAGGTGAAGCGGGACCTCACGGGCTCTGGGGGGGCTCTTCCCAGGATAGAGGGGAGAAGAGATGCGGAAGTTCTGGGGCACCAGGACAGCTCCCGCGGGGCATTAGCTGCTTGCAGAGGACACAGATTAACATAAAATCACCTGAAGGCACTCCAGAAAGGATGTGGGGTCATTAAAAACACAGACCTAGAAAGAAGCTTGTCTGGTTTGGCAGGCAAAACAGAAAGAATGTGAAAAAAGCTTCTGATGTGCTAAGTCGGTCTCCAAGACAAAGTGGAACTCATGGGAACTGGCTACCTGGTTTATACCTCAGTTCTGAGGGATAAGCCACTTTCTCTTCAAAAAGGATGGACTGGTTTGTGTGACTCACCAGACAAAGCCAAGTCAAAGAGAAGTTTCTAGATCCCGCAAGTGGAAGTGCCCAGTGGTGAGCCACCTGGGTCCACATTCAGAGCTGGCAACTGAGCGTTTCAGGCCCAGTGCCGTCCCCTGGCCCCTCCCCTCATCCCAGCCAGAGCCCGGGAGGGGACGGCTCAGGAACTACATGTGGTCGCCAGAGCTCGTCCTCCTGTGTCTCTCCATCCCTCAGTCTTCATCCGCATCTCCTTTCTGGCTGATTTAGACTCTCTCTTCATTAATTATCTCGCCCCTTTGTTCTGCAAACTGGTATTGAGCACCAAACACTGTAAAGGACATTATGGGGTACCCAAGGTTAAAAGATACCAAGAAAACAACCCAAATACCTATCACAGGCGAGTGGACCAGCAAGTTGTGCTGTATCCGCACCGTGGAAGACCACTCAGCCGTAAAAAGAAACAGCCTGCTGACGTGCTCAACGGCAGGATGGATCGTGAAAGAATTGTGTTAAGGGAAAGAAGCCAATACTGCGTGATTCTGCTCAGATGAAATTCTAGAAGAGGCAAAACTATAGCAATAGTGGATACAGAAAGCAGATTGGAGGCTGCCAAGGTTAGGGGAAGGGAGAATGGGGAGAAACAACTCAGTGGATCCGGGGTTTCTGTGGGAGATGAAAATGCTGGAATAAGATAGAGGTGGCAGCTTCACAATATTGCGAATGCATTAAATCTTACTTTATTTTATTGATTTATTTTTTTAAAGATTGGCACTTGAGCTAACAACTGTTGCCAATCTTTTTTTTTTTCTGCTTTTTCTCTCCAAAGCCTCCCCAGTACATAGTTGTATATTCTAGTTGTGAGTGCCTCTGGTTGTGCTATGTGGGACGCCTCTTCAGCGTGGCCTAATGAGTGGTGCCATGTCCGCACCCAGGATCCAAACCAGTGAAACCCCAGGCTGCCACAGCGCAGCACGTGAACTTAACCACTCAGCAACGGGGCCGGTCCCTAAATGTCACTTTAAAATGGGTAATTTTATGTTGTGAATTTCATCTAAAATGTGAATTTTAGGTGAATTTCACCTCTGAAAAAAGGAGAAAAAGATCTATAGTGACACAAAGCAGATCAGTGGTTGCCAGAGAGTGGAGGTGGGGATGTGGACTGATTGCAAAGAGGGCACAAGGAAACTTCCCAGAGCGGTGGAAGATTTCCACGTCGTGGGCGTGGTGGTGGTTTCGTGGCTGTATACATTTACTGAAACTCGTCCAGTTGCATACTTACAGTTAGCAAATTTCATTTTATTATAAATTATACCTCAATAAACTGATTTCTCCAAAAGTTGTCAAGTGTACAGGCTAGCAGGGAAGAAAAGTTGTTGGAGATTCCCCTCCACAAATGTGACAACCAAAAAATTGTCTCCCAACACAGTTAAATGTTCCCTGGAGGCAAACCATCCTGTGAAGAACCACTGGAGTAGACAGAGCATGGGTCTCCCATTCTGTATTCCACATCTCCCAACCGCTCCGTCTTCCATATCTCCCTACCGCTCTATCTTCCGTATCCCCCAGCCGCTCTGTCTTCCTATCTTCCAACCGCTCTGTCTTCCACATCCCTCAACCGCTCTGTCTTCCACATCTCCCAACGGCTCCGTCTTC